ACTTTACCACTGCTCTTCCCCTCCAACTGAATCATGGACAGCTAAGCCAGGAGAAGCTAGAGAAATTGTTTGGTCTATCCCTCAGCCTCTGGGCATTGCTCAAAGCTGACAAGTGGAAACCTAGAGTTGGCCCAGACATGATGGATGGTAGAAATGCCAACTTGAAGGAGAGGAGGTTTGGCTCCTCTCCTGGGAGCTCTGTCTGGCCAAAGGCTTTCACCTCCCACCTCCTGCTGGAGCTGGCTCTTTTATAGATAACATTACCATTGCTCCCTTGGTCTGCTCTAGTAGCTATGGACTCATAACAGTTTTCTACATTTATGACAGCTCCGGAACCAGGCTGAGATTACAAATCACTCTTCTCCATCGTCTTTGACCCATCAGGAACAGCATATCTCCCAGTAGCACCCACTGTCCTTGCCCAGTATTTCCAGCCATGGGGCGTATAAACACTGAGGCTGAGACCTGGAATGGGGATTATAGGGATTATATAGGGACCACACTGCATCACTGAAAGAGCTGGAAATACCCATTCTGATCTTCTGTTTTTTGGTTGGAAACTCTTAGACAAAGGGAGACCACTCTTTACTGGCTCTTTCCCCTCCTCCTCACACTGAGATTTCCTGACACTCAGAAGTCCTGAATGTGGCTGGGAAGACAGCTACCTTCCTTTGGAGCCAAGACAGTAAAGAAATCTCAAGACCCTCCCCTTCTTGTTCCCTATCTTTGGCTGCTCCTCTATTCCAGGCCCCCTCCTCTCCTGCCACCACTCCCTTCCCATTCCTCCTTTCTCTTCTCTTCTCTTCTCTTCTCTTCTCTTCTCTTCTCTTCTCTTCTCTTCTCTTCTCTTCTCTTCTCTTCTCTTCTCTTCCTCTCTCTCTCTCTCTCTCTCTCTCTCTCTCTCTCTCTCTCTCTCAGCAAGTTTTTTATGTGATTACAGGCACTGCATGGTAATTAGTGCTAAACTCATTTGCACAACTACAGTTAATTGGCTACAACAATTAATTAATGTGTTGGAAATTTGGCACTGGAAAAAAAAGTTTGTCATCAAAAAAAGGGCAAAAAATTGTAGAGTGAGGTACCCATAAAAATCGAGGGCAGGCTTCAAAAGCCCAGCTGGGCCTCAAACTTCAGGCTTGCCTCAAATGCCTTTATACTCTCTACTTCAACACACTTTCCTCTTTCATTTTTTCCCTCCTTTCTCTCTTTCCTTCTCTTTTTTTTCCTTTACTTTTTTTTTTTTTTACAACTTAAGCAAACTCATTTCCCTGATAAAATATAGCATGACTAATGGCTAGAGCATGTAAAAATCATTGGGAAAATGTCCTTGGAAGACGAATGCATTTTCAGCAGAATAATTAACTTAATTAACAAATTCACATGCATATTCATCAGGCTATTAATGTCTTCTCGGCTCAGCTTGATGAACATTGCGGTAATAACCATCTCATTTACATACTGCATTCTACTGCGATCCAAAACAGAGACAACATACAGGCGTATACACACACACACACACACACTCGCAATACACACAACATGCCTAGGCTGCTCTTGACTTCCAGGTTGGATGAGAGTGTGTTTCTGTGTTGGGGGGCAGTGAGGCAGGGAGTGGGTGAGTGGGAACCCCGACTGGGTGGTGTGATCTTTTGAGGGTCATGAGTCAGGTGAGCTACGGATGCCCACATGTGGATGTCTGAGAGAACTTCTCTCTCTCTCTCTCTCTCTCTCTCTCTGCCTCTTTTTCCTTGTTTCCTTTTCTCTGTGTCATTTTTCTCTCTTCTCTCACTCTCCGCCCCCCCCCCATATCTCTAGGGAAAAACTTGGTATCCGTGCCAACTTTTTTCCCCCTCCCCTCCTCCCTCTCTCTTCTCCTTCCCCTCTCCCAACTGCTGCCAGCCGGCATCAGCGCCGAATTGCCATCTCCTTGAGCTCTCTGTGGAGCAATCTCAGAGAGCAGTAAGGTGTGACGCGGGGCTCTGCCGGCTTCGCAGCACCGCCTGCGGAAAGAGCGCAGGATGGCGGAGGAAGATTAAGAGAAATCGGGAGCAGGGCTGGGCTGCCATTGGTGTGTGCAAACGCCGAGGAGGAAGGGAGAGGGAGAGCAAGGAGGGGGGAAGAGAAAGAGGGGGGGACCAGCAGCTGTCGGCCTAATTCTTCTAACACTCTGCTTGTGGTCATATTAGAAAAACAGATTATGCCCCTCGGTGCCACTCACTTATACTTGACATACGTTAATGTTCTATGTCTCAGTTCTCCGGGTCTTGACAACGGTGGAATTGAGATCGAAGAGGATGGGGGCCCGGGTGGCCAAGGGGCACTGAAAGACCCTGCCCTCTCATTCTCTCCAAACCTCCGATCCCAGTCTGTATTCGCCCTTTAGAAAGCAAGCCTGGGCCCAGTTTGCATCTAATGCCACCATTTGGCCCTGCGTTTTGCAGCCCCTTAGGAGGTACACAGGTCAGAAGACACCTGGAAACCCTTTCCCCAAAAAGTCTCCCCTCCTTTAGAGCCTTACTTGGTCACTTTAGGACCAAGTGAGATCAGCTTTGTAGCACCCCAACAACCTTTCTACCTTTCCCTCAATCAGAAATTAGAGGTAAGAGAAAGGGATCTATGATAGTAGATGCTCCAAGAGGGGGTTACAGAGAAGCCATAAGCAAAACCAGGCTAGGATTGTTTCTGGGTTACTATGGAAACCAGGTTCCCTCCTCCTGGCAGGAAGGGAGGAGTGCCTGAGGGCTTCCTCATTCCACCAATCCTGAAGGTTGTAAAGGCGGAGTTTACTGTGGCCTGGGGAAAGGGCTGATCTTGGAGGACAGCTGGCCTGCCAGTCTGAGCCCTTTGACCCCCACCTTCCCTACCCTCCCACCCCAATATTCAGTCAAAGGAGGCTTTTTCCTCTGGTGCCTTGTCCTCTATGGAGACCTGTTGCTTAGCAACCACTAGTGCCTTCTTCCTAATAACTTGCAGGGACGGAGAGATATAATATCTGTGTCTATATTCGGTTCCCCTCTCTTGTCTATTTATATTTAATAACTGAAGTTCTGTCTTGGGTTCTCTTGGCACCTGCCTGAGAGGGCTCTTAGAAGGATTAAGCTACAGCCTGAAGAAAGAAGGTTACACCTGAGGAGGAACTTCTGAACAGGGAAGAGTGGGAGAAAAGACTGGAGTAGATAGGGGATCAAGGAAAGCTGTGGAATCATTCTCTTATGTATAGGTAGAGTGAGGAAAAAAGTATTTAAAACTTGGAATGTGGGAAGGGGGTGTCCACAGATATTCTGAAGGGTCAGCTCTAGGACCTGGAGTGGACCCCAAGAGCTGCTTCCCAGGCTAGCATTTTCCACTCCCACACCCTTCCCTGCTCCTGCTTCCGGGCCACTTCCAGTCTAGGTATCTCTTGTATTTCTGTATGTGAGAAGCCATCAAATCTTATATTTCCTGGTGTCTGGATGTTGGTATCCAGGAGAGGGAGCTGTGTGATGTGTGGCCACCAAGGTCTGAGTATCTCCCAAAGTTTTTCAGTCACTAGGAAGGAGTTCTTTTAAGCTCTCTGCTAGAAAACCCCACACCTGATCTGCCAGTGGGAGCTGGACAATATCACCCAAAACTGAACAAGGAAGGCCTGTTCTACATGGCCTGTATACAAAAGTCAGGCCTGGGTTTGGGTTCCCCTCTCCTTACTCTCCTGTGACCCCCAAATTATTATCTACTTAATCTTTAAAGGTCATGTTGCCTCATCTGTAGGCGAAGAATAATAATAATAATAACTCGCTGGACTGTAGTAGGATCAGTTGAGGTAATATGTGAAAGAAAATACTCCGAAAACTAAAATATTATTTTAAGACCTAAAAAATATCTGATTGCTGGGGAGAGGGAGGCATCATGAATCCAGCTCAGCCCTGGACTTAGGAATGCCCCTTCCCACAGCTCTCCTATCTGCTGGTCTTCCATTAGTTTGTTAGCAGAAGGGGTATCACTCTTTGCCCTCTGGTTGGTGGGGCAGGAAGCTATAAATTAAAATCAAACTTGAAGCCTTCCAGGGAGAGTCATGTGGCTTGTCCCTATCATCCTTCTCACCTCCAGTCCCAACCTCTGACCTGTAGTCCTCAGCAGCCCTGCTGACACCTCACCATGACCCTCCACTGTTTCCCTCGATCAGCACCTTCACTGCCATCGTGCTAGCTCACAGACTGTACAATTTCTTCCGCCATACCCGCCTTCTCCACACCTCTTCCAACCCAAGCCTTCTGTGGGAGACAGATGGGGTGTCTGCAGTGGAAAAGGCTCTGGGCTGTACGCCGTCGTGGGTGGGCAGCGCCCCTCCCCATCTCCCCACTACTCCCTCTCCCCGCCTAAGACACTTAGATGCACCCCAGGCAGCGCTGGGAGGTGTTGGGGATTCCAACTCTCTCCTCTTCTCTTCTCACGCTCAGCTCCAGAAGCAAGGCCAGAATGGCATCTTTCTCCAAGACCCAGTCCCCAGCTCCTCTTCATGGAAGACCAGTGCAGAGGAGGAAGTAGGTTAGGGAATGGTAGGACTCTATGCGATGGGACTAATCTGGAGAAGCAGGGAGAGGCCTGGGGCCTTTCACTGGCGACTGGATGGCCGGTTCTTGGGGGCCTGAGTTGACAGGAGGCTAAACCTGGGCAGCTCCTTTGTTCCAGAAATCTGGGGTCCCTGAAGTGAGGCTCAGCGTGGGGAGGGAGGAGAAGAAGCTAACAATACAGAGCACCACCTGTGAGCCAGGCATAATGCCAGAGCCTTTCCATACCTGTACTCACAAGTAGCATGTGAGGAGTCAGGGCATATAGGTGTCTATCAGCTCCCAGCATCCCTGAACAGTTGACCACTTTCTCCTTTTATTCTGTGATGTCACTGCCAATTCTCCTACAGCTTTGACTGCTCTTTCTCTGTCTCCTTTGCAAGCTCATCCTTGACACCTTAGACTCAGTCAGGTTCCCCAATTATACACTTTCATTATATATCTTTCTTTCAGAGCACTCAGCAGAGTTATCTCATACTTATTTGTGTAGTCATTCGAATAATGATCCTAGTTTCATTGGATGGGAAGTTCCACGAGGGCAGTGACCATATCTATCTGTGTTTGCCAACGTGCTCCCAGTGCCAACAACAGTGCCTAACATACAGCAGCTGTTTGGTAAATATTTGTTGAATGAATGAGTAAATGACAAAGGGACATCTCTCTGGCCTAAACTCAGCGTTTTAGCCACTCCCTCATTCTGAGCTGACCCACCCCAATGTGTGGACCAGGGAACAGGGTACCTGGGAGGTCAAGCTGCCTCGTTCTCCCTGGAAAGAGCTATCAGGACAGGACCAGCCCTAGTTCCAAGACACGGGGCCTCTGCCATGCCAGAGTCTGGCCCTGCCTGTCTGCTCTCTAGCTTCTCCAGAGATTAAGAGAATTCAGAGTCCCAAATTTTTTCCCACATGGGGGCCTGAGATCACTCATGTGAGCTGGAAGGGAGGGAGGGGAGTTCCATCAGAGAAGGGTGCTCTGAAGAAAATCTCTCTTTTCTACCTTAGCTAAGACTGCAGAGACCATCTGTTACCACCCCTCTGTCCTCTTCCCCTGGGCCTCAGGGAAGGAGATGGTTAAACTAAGTAGGAGGGATAGACACTTTCCCAAAAGCAGGGCAGGCTGCTTGCTCCTTGAAATGTCTGGGGAGCTGGGTTATGAGCCTCAGCCAGGTAACTGGAGCGGAGGAACACAGGATCCAGGAACAGCAAATCCTTTGGGGCTGTACTGTCTAGACCCTGGGAAGCAGGAGGTGGACAAAATGACCTCTAGGAGGTATCCAGTCTCCAGCCCAGGGCTCTGTCTGACTGTTTTGCTGCCCTTGCCATCTGACCTCAAACAATATTCCCAAGTCTGTGAAGAGTTAAAGTTAGGCCAGGCCTGGTAGCTCCTTGCTCTCTGTGGCCACTCCCCATTACTAACCTTGAACAAGCACACAGACAATTATAGACCTCCCAGCTCAGAGCACCTCTCTGACCCAGCTCAGTGCCAATACCCAGTCCTCACAGCAGCCTCTCACTCAGTCCCCTTATCCTTACAGTCCCCAAAGCACCCAGGCATCTGGGGTCATGGATCTGGGAGCCATTCTGAGTAGTGTTTCTCTCTTTGACCCCACCTGTTCTCTGAGCCCCTAATGAAGCAGGACAACTCAGGCTGCAGGCCAAGTCCTTGTGTCCCTATCAAAGGCAACATCTGTCCCCTCTAAGAAGATAACCCTGGGGGAAGGGGGTGAGACAGGCACAAGGGAGAAACCCCAGTCTTGCCTGGGCCCTCACCCCGGATTCCACTGCAGGCATCTTTTGGGAGTGAGGGCCAAGAGAGCCGCAGAGGCCTACACTCACACATGCCCCTGTATGGGCCTTCCTGCCTCTCAGCCCCCACATATGAGAGCCCCTCCTGGGCTTACCCAACTACCTGGGCTGCTGCTGCTGCCAAGCGGCCTTCTTTTATTCATGCGTTGTTTTATTGCTGGCAAATGCTGCTGCTTGCCGCTGTTGGAGGCGTTCCTGCCAAATCCATCCCAACATCTTGGCCTGGCATCAGGGCGGCATGCTAATGTGGAAATTTAAAGAGCCGCTCGGCTTTAAATCGGAATTTTAAATGAGCAGCAGTGCTCCGATGGGACCCAGGCAAAATCGAACAGTATCTGATACACCCTTCCTCCTCCCACACCCACAGCATCACCCCAAGTTCCTCCCACCTCTTCCTTTGATTTGAACACTAGAGGAGGTAGTGGCATGGGACACAGTAGGGGAATAGGGAGGGAATGGGGAGCTACCAGGGCAGAGGAATTGGTGCAAGGTGGGTCATCTGGACCAGTAAGGAGCTGGGACCCCCTGCTCAGGACCAAGAAAGGATCTACTTCTTGCTGTCATGGGCAAATGGCCAAATGGAGGGTGCAGAGCTGGGAGTAGTGAAACTGAGGCTTACTCCCTCACTCCCATTTTCCAGGAATCAAGAAGAGAAGGCCTGTTCCGCAGAGAAGAGAGAAGGTAGAATTCCATGAAGACACTCACACATTTGTGCACAGTGGGATGTGTGTACACAGCTGTGCGTGCGGGCTGGGATGCTTGCTGAGGGGCCTGTAGCACATGTACATGTAACTCACACACCACCCATGCATGGAGAGGAATTATCAACACATGGAGGGCAGTGTTTCTTTCCCTATCCAGGCCACTATCCTAACCCAAGAGCAAGCTGGCCTCTGCCAGTTGCTAACCTACCTAAACTGCCCCAGGTTTTTCTATAGATCCTAATTCCCCAGCTCCTGGCAGCTACCTGGAGTCAGTTATGGAGACGGAGCCCCCCAGCTCCTCTGCCAGGATGTGGGCAGGGGCACTTGAGGTCATCCTGTGCACCTGTCTTGGCCACAGTGTGGTGCCTTCTCTGTTGACCACCAGATGACAGGCTCAGACATCTCATCTGGGAGAGGTGGTAAGCACAGCCTTGGTTTCAAAGGGAAGAAGGGGCTAATGGGAGGTGAAAGAGGCAGAATCTGTGCCTCCCTGTGATCCCCTCTCCTTACCTGTCTCCAAGAGTTAGATGGACCCTCATTATCAGAAAACGTTTTTTGAGTACCTGCCCTCAAGGAGACACCATGCTTAGTATAGCGGAGTGCTATACTCCGCTATACTCCTCACAATTTTTGGGTTCATGACAGCCTGGAGAATCTGGATGTACTGTCCCCAGTGGAGGATCCACAGTAACTCACATGGTAACCTCAACCTTACCCATATTAGGCTGCTAGGCCAAGGGATGCTCCCAGACCTTCCCCAGGATTCCCCCTCCCTTAAAGAAGGGGCCAGCTCCTCCAGGGGCTGGTATGGCTGCCAGCCAAGAGGCTTGGGGCAGGCCTGGGGCAGGCAGCTGGCACCTGCCCACCAGATCCCCAAGGAATGCCCTCCTCCCCCACCCCCACAGCCCCATTTAGATGGCCCCTGGGCTACCAGGAGATAGAACTCACTTCTCCCCATTCCCAGAAAAAAACAAGCTGGACAGCCCATTGCCTCCCTTTCCACTGTAAACTACTCCAAGATCCTCCACCCAGAGTAGATACACTAAAGACCCACCAGGCAATTTTTCCAGGCAGGACCAAATGCCTAATATGGTAGGTGTTGAACTGGGCCTAGGTAAGAGAACTTGAGGGGTAAGGCCTGAGCTGCAATTCTAGGAGAAGTTGCTGAGGTCAAAAGATATATGAGGAAGAACAACTCTATGTAGTGAGATAGGACAGGGAGACATGAAGGGGAGGGCCTGAATGAATCTGTCTCTTATCTAATTAGCAGCATGCAAATAATATGCAAATAACACCCTCTTTGTTTAGAGACCACAAGGTTGGTGCTTTTTAGAAGTGCATTGCAGAGGGCCTTCCAGGCAGCATGGCTGAGACTCTCAGACATGGCACACCCAGGCTCAAGAGAGAGGCCAAAGTGCAGCCATCTGGTTCTAGCTTATTTCCTGGATTGGCTCGCTTTCTGTGGGCCTCAGTTTCTCTATGTGTAAAATGGCAAGATTAATTAATTCATTGGTTCCTACAGCTTTTTTCCAGTATTGACAGTCTGGAGTTCTCTGATCTGGGGCACAGTGCCAGTGCAGGGCAGAGGGGTTGCTTCCATTCTTGGGGGAAAGCCAAGGTCCTCAGCTCTCTTGCCTCCACTGCCCACCTCAGCAGTTCCATCATGCCACCCCCCATTCCCCACAAACCTGCCATCCCCAAATGTGGGCAGTTTCCTGAAGGCAATGTCTCTCCCACTCCATGTCTTTTCCCATGTTGTTTCCTCAGCTGGTAATGCCCTTCCTGCTCTAGCCCCTCATCTGGCTAAGTCCCCTCCAGCTCCAAGAGCCTTACCTGCCCTACCCCTCAACTCCCCAGTTCTGGCAAGGTGGCTCCCTTCTGGGTGCCCCTATGCACTGTCTGTTTACTTCTCTCTTTTCCTACTAGGCCATGCACTCCTGGGTTTTGTTCAAGACTGAATCACCAATATAAGTGCATTAGTTTCCCAGGGCTGCTGTAACAAATTACCACAACCTTGTGTCTTAAAACAACAGATATTTATTCCCTCACATTTCCAGAGTCCAGAGGTTCAACATCAATTTTACTGGGCCAAAATCAAAGTGTTGGCAGGGCCACACTCTCTCTGGAGGCTCTAGAGCAGGATCTGTTCCTTGCCTCTTTCAGCTTCTAGTGGCAGCTACATTCCTTTGCTTGTGACCCCATCATTCCAATTTCTGCCTCCATCTTCACATCACCTTTTATTCTTCTGTGTGTATATACTCTCCCTTTGCCTCCCCCGCCCCTTCTTTCTCTCTCTCTTTTGAGATAAGGTCTTGCTCTGTTGCCCAGGGAAGAGTGCAGTGGCATCATCATAGTTCACAGCAACCTCAACCTCCTGGGCTCAAGCAATCTTCCTGCCTCAGCCTCCCAAGTAGCTGGGACTACAGGCACATGCCACCACGCCCAGCTACTTTTTCTATTTTTTTTGTAGAGACGGAATCTCACTCTTGCTCAGGCTGGTCTTGAAATCCTGACCTCAAGCAATCCTCCCGCTTTGCCCTCCCAAAGTATTGGGATTACAGGTGTGAGCCACCATGCCCAGCCCTTTTCTTCTCTTATAAGGACACTTGTGGTGTTATGTAGCACCCACCTGGATAATCCAGAATAATCTCCCCATCTCAAGATTCTTAATGTAATCACATCTGCAGAGACCCTTTTTCCAGATATGGTAACATTCACAGGTCCCGGGGATTAGGACATGGACATATCTTTGGGAGCCATTATCAGACTACCAAAATAAGCAAAGACATTTTTTAATTTATCATTTATTATCTACCATCTGCCAGACACTGTACATTTTTCTTACTTCAATTAAGTTTTGCAGTAACCCTGAAAGGTAGATATAAATATCTCTAGACAAGGGAACTGGGGCTCAGGGAGACTGAGTCACCTGCCCAAGGTCACATAGTTGGTAAATGTCAGAGCTGGGATTTGAAACCAGATGAGCTTGGCTCCAAAGCCAGCATGCTTTTGCCTCCCCAATAGCCTCCGAGCCTACCCCAGGCCCTGGCACAGATTTCTTGCCTGAATATATGTGCAGAAAGAGGAAGATAGGTGGACAAGAGAAGGGAAGATGAGGCCCAGCTTCCTAGTGATACTGGCTTAAGCTTTCTTTTGCCAAAGCCCCCTTACCACCCTCTTATTCTCCCCCACCAACCCTGACCCCTTGTTTCAGAAGCCTGGAATCCCCCAGTTTGCAGCCCCCTGCCAACTACTGCTGCCCAGAAGGGTGGCACAGTGCCTGGACTTCAGGCAGGAGCTATCAAATCAGAACCAGAGGGACGTCTGGAGGTCACCTCATCTAGCCCTCTGCCCACATCCAGGCCTGTGCATGAGGACAGGGGCAGACAGGGTCAGGGTGGTGGGCAGCAGAAGGGTGAAGCAGCCATCTCTCTTCCTTCAGCTGCCCTTTCTCCTTTCTCACTTTTTACACAATTTATTTTGGGAAGCCCTCACTCTGGTCTAACCTTGCAGACATCATGCATAATGAAAGTTGGCCAGAGTCAGAAGGCCTACTACCCAGTCCTAGAGTCTCCAAAAAATAAAACGAGATTTTTGGCTAATCTGTTCACCTCTCTGAGCTTCTAATTCTTGATCTTTAAAATGTGATCGATAATGGTGATGATAATAATAATAATAGCCATCTCACAGGGATGTTGGGGGGATAAACACAGCTCAGGAAAGAAGTGTCCAACCCACAGCCTGGAGCAAGGCAGGTGCTGCAGGGATATTTCACAGCGGCCCAAAGCCCTCCAGCCGAAGTCCCCTCATCCTGGATAACAGGGCTCTGCTCACCTCAGCCATTCTGGTCTGCCTTGCGCGCTAGACTGTGAACTCCTCTTGGCAGGATCTTGTTCATTTTTAATCACCGCTCCTTCCCCTCCCCAGTGTCTAGCCCATGCTCAGGCACGTAGGCTCAATATACATTTAATAAACGAGTGAGAGTACGAGTCGGACCCCCAAGTCCCCAGAGGCACAGAGCCTGACTCCCACCAGCAACCCTTCTCTGCACAACCCTTTCCCCTGGGGTCCAGGCGCCGACTGCAGCGGCGGGGAAAGAGGCGCTGCAGCTTTAAGATTTCTCTCGGGCGTCCCCGTTGCCAAGGCGCGGTTGCCAGGGGCCTGCGCTGAGCTGCGTCCGGCCTTCGCGCGCCGGCTTCGGGTTTCCTCCTCCTCTTCCTCCGCCGCCGCCGCCGCGCCGCCCTGGGCTCGGCTACTTCGAACCGTCTGGCGGACTTGGCACTGGCCCCCGCTCCTCGGTGCCCCCGCAGTGCGTGGCAGGCTGCGGCTTCATTATCCTGATTGATTCCTCCTGCTCCCCGACACCGTGGGGGCCCAGGCCAAGGAAGGGGGGCGGAGGCGGCATCTGCGGGCCCCTGCCCGGCCCTCGCTCCCATCGGCTCTTCAGGCTGCCGGCCCCTTGGTGCCCTGCTGCGGCCGGCAGGGCAGGCAGGGAGGGCCACCCCCACCCTCTGCCCCCCTTGGTGGGCCGGCAGGGACCCAAGGAGCAGAGCACTGTCCGGCTAGGCGCTTCTGCCCAAGTGCCCGCTCTGGGCCACGAACGGCCGCCTTCGTTTTGCCTTCTCCAGGAGGATATGGAGGGGTTCGGGTTGGGAAGGAGCACGGTGGAGGACTGAGAACTTCAGGAGAACAAGCCCTCGCAAAATGGGAAAGGTGACATCGAGGAGCATTGGTCACGTGGGCCAAGGCCTGGTGACATGGATCTTATCATGTGACTCCCTGGGCAGCTTAAGTACAGTTCTCAGGAGACTCAGGGACAGGGTCTTCGCAAGCCCCACAGGACACCTGGCGTGGATGTGAACTCAAAGCAAGGCCTCTGTGAGGGAGAGGACCTGTCCCAGAATCTGGCAGGGTGTGCCCACCCACCCCCAAACTTCAGTGCTGAGACCTTAGTAAAAAGAGCATTTGGGAGCCAGGCCTGAGAACGGAGTCATTCTAGTTCTGCCACTTTGTTTGCGAACTGGACAAGTCACTTTGTCTTTCTTAGCCATGGTTTATTCCTCTGTACAGTAGGGCTAAGACTTCGCAGTTCTCAGTGGCTAAATGGGATAATGCGTAATGTGTCCATGAGAGGATCCTACCTAAGTTCTCAGTCAAGAAAAAGAAAGGGAAATGAGGGGCTGGCCACCATCCCTCCTGTTTTGGGTGAATCCCATTGAGGGAGGTGAGTCCCTTCCATATGCTTAAATCCCTTCTTAACTAGAAAGATGACCTTGAACTTTCCAGCCAAAGCTGCCCCCTTGTCAGAGTAGAGGGGCAAAACTGCTCTCTACCTCAGTGGCATGACATGGATTCAATATGTGAATTCACATCCGGCTCTCTACCACTCTTATCCCTCTCTGCGTGGGGCTTCTCTTTCTACAGCCCTGGCAGTCTTCCTCTAGTGCCCCAGCCCTGTCCTGTCCAAGGGCCAGACGTGAGAAATTCCTTATATGGCTTGGCCCATGTGGGTAACTCCAACCTTTAGTCCTCCTCACCCCTGGGAAAGAGGGAGCTGGTAGAGAATTTGAGGCCATTTTCCCGACCTGTTGTGTTTGTGAATACGATCTGGGCCACTCTGGCAACGCAGTGTCTATCTCTGGGCCTATTTCCTCTTCTGTAAATTCCTTAATTTATTCTTCCAACCCATATTTACTGGTGACCACAGTGGGGCAGCATGGTGCACCCAGCATGTGAGTGTGTGGGAATGAACACAGACGGGTGGGAAGCGCTCCGCTGTGAAACCACTGTTGGTCAACAGATGCATACAGCAGCCTCTCCAATACAAGGGGGTTTGCTGCAGGGGGACCTCCCAGATTCTAGAACATTCCACAGTGTCATGATGCTTCCTCTCTCCTTCCTTAATACTGCAGACTCTTGCCCTGGACCCTTCAGTAAGAGGCTAATTACTTTCCTGCGGGAAAAAGACAGTTTCTAAAATTGAGTCTGGGGCTTTCGTTCAATCCCTTTTGTTGGAATTACTTATTTTTACAACAATCATGCATTAATTTTACTTTTTTATTTATTTATTTATTTTTGAGACAGAGTCTCACTCTGTTGCCCGGGCTAGAATGCCATGGTGTCAGCCTAGCTCACAGCAACCTCAAACTCCTGGGCTCAAGCGATCCTTCTGCCTCAGCCTCCCAAGTAGCTGGGACTACAGGCATGCGCCACCATGCCCAGCTAATTTTTTCTACATATTTTTAGTTGTCCAGCTAATTTTCTTTCTGTTTTTAGTAGAGATGGGATCTCACTCTTGCTCAGGCTGATCTTGAACTCCCGAGCTCAAACAATCCTCCCGCCTCAGCCTCCCAGAGTGCTAAGATTACAGGCGTGAGCCACCTGGCCCATGCATTACTTTTATATTCAAGAAGAAAATATAATAAAAACAGTCCCAGTTTGGAAAAAAGATGCCAGGGAACATTTTTTTCCTCTGGTAACCAGAGGCGGGTCAGCACGTATATTTAGGCCTGCTAAGCTGCCCAGGACCCTTGAACAATGTAGCCCTGTATGTGCCTGCCTCAGTCTACTCACTGGCCCAGCTATCCATCCACCCGCCCCTGTCTGGCCTGCCCATCCTCAGCGCCTGTAGCTCTCAGCTTCACTTCCTATTAATACAAGCCACGTGGGACCCTGGCTGTGGCGTCTCCAGGCAGAAGAGGAAGCCACAGCCGCCTAGTGGCTGCCAGGGAGGCTGGCAGGAAGGGGCATCTCTACCAGGCATCTCCTGGGAAACAGTGAGCTTCCCAGAGAAGGGATATTTGGAAATAAAATTCCTGCCTCTGTGTGTGTGTGTGTGTGTGTGTGTGTGTGTGTGTGTGTGTGTGTGTTGGGGTGGGAGAGGGAGTTAGGACACCTCCCCAGCCCCTGTGCTCTTCTCTCTTCTCAGGGAAAGCCTCTCCCAGCAGCCCTCCTCACTGCCTCCCCAACTCCAGCCCCTATGGGTTCTACTGGGGCTGGACAAGTGGCCTAGACCACGTCCCTCAGATTCATGATACAGTGGTCAGAGGCCCGAGTTCTCGGCTTCCCTGCCTCGCCCTGTGGCTCTGGCTTATCACACCTCCCTCTCTGAGTCCCAGCCTCCTCCTCTGTAAAGTAAGGGAACTGGATGAGATTTTCTTGTCATTCTTCGTCCCTACATTGGGGCTCCTCCACAAAGCTCAAAAATACAGTCAGGGCATTCTAGGCCATTCTTTCCTGAACTTAGAACAGATATTTGATAGGATCTCATGCTTCCCTGTGTGACTTTGACTGGTTGCTGAAACCAGCCTGGGCCTTTCACCTGCACATTCATTCTTTCAGGTATTTGTAGGTTCTTTTTCTTTTTTTTTTTTTTTGAGACAGAGTCTCACTCTGTTGCCCAGGCTAGAGTGAGTGCCATGGCGTCAGCCTAGCTCACAGCAACCTCAAACTCCTGGGCTCAGGCAATCCTCCTGCCTCAGCCTCTGGAGTAGCTGGGACTACAGGCATGCACTACCATGCCTAGCTATATTTTTATTTTCTATATTTTTAGTTGGCCAATTAATTTCTTTCTATTTTTAGTAGAGACGGGGTCTCGCTCTTGCTCAGGCTGGTCTCAAACTCCTGACTTTGAGTGATCCTCCCGCCTCAGCCTCCCAGAGTGCTAGGATTACAGGCATGAGCCACCGCGCCTGGCCTGTAGGTGCTTTTTGAGAGTGAAGTCTCCACTAAGAAGGTCCAGAGGTAGCCCACATTTCCATGAACGAGGCATCTCAGCTCCCCTTTACTGTTCTGTAACCAGAGGCCAGCTGCATGCCACATTCCTTTCATGATAACCCCCTTCAGGAGGAGCTTGAGGGCCCTGGAACCTTCCCTTCCCATAGTGTCCAGAGCCAAGTGAAGGGAGAAGCCATGGCATGTGCTGAGAAATAGGGTTGGAGGTGATGTCCCTGCCCTCTACCCTCTCTCACCCCCAGCTGTTTCCCTTTGCTCTCCCTTGTCTTTGAGGAACCGCGCCCCCACTCCCAGCACAATTCACCCTTCCCCGTAAAATTATGGGATGCCAAAATTGGGGACAGAAGCCCTTTGTAATCCACAGGCAGAGGTCAGAGGGACCTAAGTAAAAGCAAGTGGCTCTCTCCCAGCGGGAGTGCCCTATCCTCTGCTCTAACTTCCTAGAGCTCCTCCTCCTCAAAGGACCCTACCTTGGAGGCAGGCTGGGAGTTGCTGAGAGAGTTCTGCACGCAGGAGACAGGCCCCCACAACTTTTGGAGGAGACAGAGGAGCTCCAGAAGGAAGAGGGCTGGGGCCCATGCAGAAGCCCAGGCCTCCTTGGATGCCCTCTGGGGAGGAAGCCGTGGCTGGCCCTCACAGCCTGGCCGGACCCTGAGGCTTCCCAGCTCTTGGTCTGCCCTGGGGTTGGGGGGGCAAGGAGTGGGAGGTGAGAGAGGAAAAGGAAGGTGAGGGGGATGGGAAGGCACAGAAGCAGTGTGAGAGAGTGGAGACCTGGACTCTGACTTGTCACCTTTACTGGACACCTACTATGTGCCAGGCGACGGGCTCTGTCCCAGTTTTACCTGTGTTATGTCCTCCAGTCCTCATCCCAGCCCCGTGCATGATGTTGTTATTCTGCTCTGACAGAGAAGGAAACTGAGACTCAGATGCATTATGTAACTTGCCCAAGGTTACACAGCTTGTCAGGAGTGAAGCCAGGAACCCAGCCCAGGTCTGTCGGCCTCCAGTGGGTTCTCCCTGCTGCCAGAAAGTCCTCCTCCTGGAAAAGCAGGTCTGGGGTTGGGGATTTCAGTCAGAGCTCATCAGGATCCCCAGAGGCAAATCTATTGTCATCTGCCCTCCTCCTCCTCACCCATCTGCCAGGCAAGTCGCAGGTGAGTCCCCTGCCACGGCCCCTGCCCCAGCCCCAGGTGCCAGCTCAGCTCTGCCTGGCTCCCGGCCTCTCCCTGGTGCCCCGAAGGTGGCTCTGAGGTCACCCCACACCCCAGTGCCTTCCATTCTGCATTTCCACATCTCAGCGTGCATGGGAAAAGCAGGAGACAGGAGGTCACTTGAAGGCTGGCAGTGGGGGCTCTGATCGCATGCAAGGGATGGGGGCCTGATTATCTCCCTTGATTCAAATGAACCCTCTCCCCACCGCCCACCCCCTCACCCCCAGAGACAGCCAAAGCTTTGCTTAGTTAATGAAATACAAAAGAAGGAATTGGGTGGGGGGTGGCTCCAGAGCACTGGAAAGCGAGGGAGAGAGGAAAAGTTGGGTCTCTTCCAAAGAGTTAATGTTCCACAGTATGATCGATTAGGTGTCAGATGTAATTTCAAACCAATACAAGATGAATGGCATAATTTTCCCTCTCTCATTTTAGACAGAATTAAGAATCCATTAGCTAACACAAATTTTTGGCAAGTTTAATAGGAGCTCAAATCTACATTCGGAGGAAATGCTCCCCAAAGCCTGTTTCAAGCTTTTACTTCTCAGGCCCCCTGCCTCCAACGTCCTCTCACCAGCCCGCTTGTTGTCTGTCCCCCTCTTGCCCCTATTCCCTCCCTTGGTCCCATACGTTCCCCTCCCCAACCCGCCTGAGATTAACCGGCCTGACCCCTCTCACAAAGGCTGGCCTGCCCACTATTGTCCTCCAGTGGCCATTGGTGGAGGGGAAGGGGTGGAGGGGCTGGCAGTGGCCCAGGAAACAGGGAGAGGTTGCTGTGGCCCCAAGCTCCAGACAAACCCTGGGGAGGGGGTCAATTGGGACATTGGGCTATTTGAGTGTCAGCTACTCAGTTTCACCCCCAGAAAACTTGTTTTTATCCTAGACAAAACAGTTCCTAAGGGAGACACATAGCCCATTCTTGATGCCTCTTATATTTACACATATTAATTCACATGGTAAACCTGAGAGCTGGCAAGAACAACTATCATCCCATTTTATAGATGAGGAAACTGAGGCTGAGAGGGGTTG